CTTTTACCTATTTGCATGATTTATAATCAAATGTTTTTTTTTTATGTAGAAAAAAATGAGGTAAATACTACAAATGCAAACAAAAATAAATGTGCACATACATTAGGTAGAAAAAGTTGTACAAGAAAAAGAAGAGAAATATTAATTTTAATAATTTATAACTTTACATTTAAATATTACTTATGTATGAAATTAGATTAATATGTATAATTTTTTGTAGGAAGAAAGGGATGGAAAGGAACCTCGATAGGTTGACATTGTATGAAGCTACTCATAAGAAGAAGGATGACACATTTATGGATGACAATGTTATTATAAAAATGGTACTAAAATTTTATTGTAATTTATTTATTGTTGATGAATGATATTTCATTATTCACTTATTCTAAATATACTTGTCTTGATATTTATAGGAAAACACTCGTTTTCTCCAAGCCGAGTGTTATGAAGGTTCTTCAACCACTAGTGCTACGGATATAAATGAAGAGATTTTTCAAAACGTTATGGGTAAAGAACACAATGGTAAAGTTAGAGGATTAGGCTTGGGGTCTAACACCAACATTTTTCTTTGATTTACAATCTCAACTTGGAAGTAGTCAAAGCGGTGCACTTGCAAATCAATCAAGTGAAGTAGAAGAAATGAAAGAGTAGTTACATACAATGCAAACCAAATATGATGCAATGGAATCTAGATAAAATGTAATAAATACAACATTAACTCGTTGTTATTACTTTCATTGCGAAAGGTATCCTAATAAGAATTTGATGCCTACTTCGTTGAATCCTACTCGGGTATCATATACTTTTAATTAAATATTTAACATTTTTCTTGATCTTAAAATATTTTTAATGAGTTTTTATCTCGTATTTACTTTTTTTTTTTTTTTTACTTTCAAATTGTGCTATTGATAGGTTTGCAATGATGATAATAGTCAAAATGCTCTTTCTCCTAATTATTCATCACAATCAAGTCATCTCGTCAAAATGAAAAATTTCTATAAAAACATGTTTTTATTATTTATTTATTTATTTATTGGTAAACATTAGCCACTTATTTTAAAATATATTTGGAATTCTATTTATGTATTTCTAACAAGTGCTTAATACTTTAGTTTTTTATTTTCTTTTTACTTGTGAATGTTTGATGACTTTTTATGTATTTGGAATTTGATAAATACAAATTTAAGAATATTATGTAAGCTATATAGTTTTTCTTTAATTTTCATTCAACAAGATTAACTTTTTCATAATTTATTTGTTTGTTTGAAAAAAAAAACAAATGAATTAGAAGGTGAAAGTTAAAAAACCATCTCTATAAATTATAAAATCCTTTTTTTATGAATTTTGAAATTTGAGGCGGTTACAACTCGCCTTTATAAATACTATAGAAAACCACCCCTATATATTTTAAACCTTGTGGCGGTTACAATCACCCCAAATAATTCGTGTGAAATTTTAAAAACAAATGTGGAAATGTAGAGGTGGTTCTAAACCGCCTAAAAATTTATGCGCAAAAAAAATTTGAAATATAAAATTGGCATCATAAAGGCGGTTGGAACTCGCCTAAAAAAAAAAAAAATTAGAGGCAAGTCAAACCGCCTCATAATTCCTCGGTGGTTGGGAAAATCGCTTCTACACCGTAGAGATGGCTGCATTGTAGGTGGTTTTGAAACGGTCCAAAAAACCACCTTTACGAGGTAAAAAACCACATAGAATACTTTTTTTTGGTGTAGTGAACTCACCAATACTTTAGAAATATGTTATGTAAAAGAAACTTTTAATTAGAATCTTGAAGGGCATTAAAACTATGATGAAAATCTTCTCCCAAAAGTCTTAATCCTTGAAGCACCACTAATCTTCAAATATCACGAAGACAAACTCTCCCAAAAATTTCATTTCTTGAAAGCATGGGACTCACCTCTTCATTTAGACCAATTCTTGACCACTTATACACACTCAGTCCAAGCTATTCTCTCTCATGGGACTTGTCAAGTCATTGAACAAAAGGATTGTTCCCTAGTCCTAAACTACCAAGGTTTTTTTTCTTTTTCTTTTTTTTTTTGTTGATTTGGTAATGGTATTTTTAAGTGTAAAATTGATTTTAATTATTCATAAGGAAAAAGTGGAAATTTGGTTTCTCCATCGTCTGGTCCATCGTCTGGGTTATTAGACAATGCAAATGAATTGCTTAGACTGGAGCAAATGCTTGTGAAGATAAAGCTGCATCTTTTCCAATTGTTGCAGGTACTCGTGTGGGATTGGAAAAGTTGAAAGTCAATTGAATGTTGGAAATGATTAGAGCTATTCTAAATTATTGTGTATTTAAATGTTGAATTTATGGGTATGATTTGTACTTGGAACTCATTCTAAGTACTCGAAAAAGATATCCTTAGTGTTTAAGCATTTAAATGAGAAGTGGAGTGGTTCGAGAATTGCTCGTGGGGAGTCGTTTCTTCACCCTTATAATGTATCTGAAGGAGAGGTCTACACAACCATTGGGAACCCTTTTGTTTTTCATCTAATGTTTTAGGCTTGATTAATTTTTAGTTGCATTTGGGCATTTAGTAGTTTTGTTTAGTTTTTTTATTTGTTTTGTGTCTTAAACTATGGCTCGTTCTTGAATTCTGGAACTAAATCCGTTGGAGTGCCTTCACTATCAACTACCCATGTTTCTAATTTTTTTAAATTATTATGTTAAATATATATTATAACACTTAATTAAAAAGATGACATGGATACCTACATGGCAAAACTATCTCTTTTTTAATAAATAAGATTTAAAACTTTTTTTTTTTTTTTTTGAAAAAATAGATTAAAAGGTACCTATTTAGGAAAAAAATTAGGCTTGATTAATTTTTGGTTGCATTTGGGCATTTAGTAGTTTGGTTTAGTTTTTTAATTTGTTTTGTGTCTTAAGCTATGGCTCATTCTTGAATTCTGGAACTAAATCCGTTGGAGTGCCTTCACTATCAACTACTCATATTTCTAATTTTTTTAAATTATTATATTAAATATATAGTATAACACTTAATTAAAAAGATGACATAGATACCTAAATGGAAAAACTATCTCTTTTTTATAAATAAGATTTAAAACATTTTCTTTCAAAAAAATAGATTAAAAAGTACCTATTTAGGGAAAAAAAAAAAAAAACTCCCACATCATAAGAGAGGATTTCAAACAAAAATTTCCAAAAGTAGATAGTCTTAATCAAATTAATATATATATATATATATATATTAGAGAATTTCACTTAAAAAAATCTAAAAATATAAATTCTATATACGAGGAAAATCCAATATATATATATAGAACATTCCTAAGTTTACTTAGGAAATTTTCTTTAATGACTACTCAACTAACACGAAAATTTAATGGAAAGTTACAATAAATAAGTTAATTGTTTTTATGACAATATAATCAAAAGTTTCCTATATAGTTTGAAGTAATTGGGAAAAGTTGATGCGTGGTTAAGCTAGGGTTTGCGGCTGTGTATGCTGCTAGGCATTGTAGTCTGCGGAAAACAAAACCTACAAAACCTATCTGTACATTGAAAACAAAAGTTTTTTTTTTTTTTTCTTTTGTCATTGTTACCATCGCAAAAAACCCCTTTCTAGGCCTCTTGTTTAATTTACTTTGTTTAGAAGGGCTTTATTGTTGTTTATTAAATTGATCAAACCATTGATTTTAAAATCACAAATTCGGATGAAAAATAACAATTAATTTTGAAAAAGTTGTAACAACTCACTACTGATCCGTAGGAATGAATGAAATCTCAACCATTAATTAAAATCCAAATCAAATTGGTTTACATCTCAGCATGATATATCATGTTGAAGGGAGCCCAATCCACTTATTACTCGTCGAATGAAATGAAAGATTTGATCGATTTGCTACAAGATACAGTCAATGTACAACATACTTTCGGTATGCATGCTTTCACACTGGACTGAGATTCTTTTTTCACTCTTTTATGCCTTTTGGTACTGTATAATGATGAATAGTCAGTTTTTTTTACCAACCAATGGTAAGCAGATACAAAGTATAACAGCTGCAAAAGAAAGAGCAAGAGAAAGGAAAAAAAACCTATAGTGAGTTAATTTTTCTTTTCTTTCAAGACCAAACTTGTAAAGATATATATATATATGATAACCTATTTATATTTGAACTCTTCTTAATCAATAGCACATATTTTGCTATTAGTTGCCCAAAAAATTGCTTCTTAAGTTGGAGCTGTGTTGTCAAATCTTTGCCTAAATAATGTCCCAACTCTAAGTTAAAATCAATAAATGTTATTGGAAAATTGTCCAGTTATCTACAATATTAACCGATGACATGGTCAAGCGGTAGAACTATAAAATTACACTTTTGCATGAGGAGCGCCACATTAGAATCATCTATTACCAATTTACTTAGAATTTAGAGTTTGTATGAATCGTTAATTACTTTGTAATTCTCTTATGCTCAGAGCAATATAAAATAATCATGAAACTGATCTTCTTTCCAAATTTCATTGTCTATATATGTATATACTAACTTGCTGGTTAGGGGCCAATCAAACCATAATTGTGTGTGTAGTAGGCTTAAAGAAGAGCAGACTAGTGACGGTGATAACAATTACCATATTCTTTTATTCGCATTCTGATCACATTTTACTCTCTTTGACCGAACACAAAAGAAATTGAATCCATATCACGAGTCCTATATATATACATATATATCAATTCTCATCACTTATTCTTCATATAAAATTAGCTTGGCCCTAGTCTTGTAGATCCTTTGCCGTTAACTAAATTTAATATTCTCACTGAAGTTCCACATTTAAAACCATTATTAACAAATCAAAGATCAAATTACCGAAAAAAAAAACACCAATGAGAGCTCATGTACAACGAAAAAAAAAAACGGTAGCTATATAAATTTAAAGTACTTATAATCAAACTCTGATTAAATTAAAAATTACAAAATTATTAAGGTTGCCCCAAAAACACTAACTTTCCTCAATTATTCTCAATTTGCACTTTACAAGGTTGCTCCAACACATACTTGGTTCCTAACTCGAAGCTGGTGCCGTTATTCTGTCCACCGAGAGAAATATCAGCCCGACAATTCACCGTCAATCGATATTTGCCAGACGTGAATGAGCTAATCTTCCATTTTAGACCCGCATCAACCTTGATATCCAGTGGCAAGATGCCATCATTCAAGTCTACCATCAAATTAGCAGCCGCATGTGGAGTAATTGGTACATCATTACCATACAGAAACGAAGGCCATTTAATGCTATTTTTGGGGCTTAGGTAAGTCCTAGGCAGCTCAGTTGCTACAGTTATCTGTTGGTTTTGATAGAATGCACGTACATCAGGCTTTTCAATGGATATCAAATAATTGGTGTTAGGGTTTCTTGTAGATAAAGTGACCTGGAGGTTACAAGTTAGCAAGTTTGGAGCTGAAAATTTCAAGCCACAGAGAGTAGTGTCCTCGAGGATAAATTGAGGCTTATGTGGAAGAGGTAGAACGCCCAAATAAAATGAGATAGCTATGACAAAGAAGATGATAAAAGCAACCCCACCTAAGATAAGGTAGAGTAGGTTGCTTTTTTTCTTGGCGATTTCAACCTTTGGAGCCACCATAATTAAGTTCCTAACTGCAAAATCACACATGAAACAGCACTGATGAAGAGATCATGATACATAGATCTAATCAAGTTAGCAAAAAAGTTAACCCCACAAGGGTATACAAATGTTACTGTATGGCCAGTTACACACACACACATTATATCTTAGTAAAACCAGTACCAGGAGATCATGTTCAACACTTTCCAACCTCGTTTGCAGCTTTCACGAGGTCGAAAGTCTGATTTTTTTTAGTGTGTGGAGTGCGGTGGCCATTGGTTTATGGGGTTCAGGTCATACCCATCAAAGATGATTAAAGTCTAGATTAATTTATTGGTCATAAAACAAAGAAAAAAAAATCTTACTGATGATGCAATGCACTCTTAGGGTTTTATTGATGATCCCATAACCGTTCTACTAATCTCAATTAGTTAATTACAGTACAGAATAATTAGCATGCATGATTATTGGATCTGAGAAATACTGTAACAGTAATCACTAACCTGAATATACGTATAGAAATTAAGAGCTTTAATCCCTTGAATTGAAGAAGCAGAAAACGATTGAACCCAAAGCATGAAATTTATATCCATACATAGATCTATTGCGTCTAGGTAAGTGACAATTTCTTTTTTTCAATTTAGGAAATATTATTTAATGCCTCGCCCAGGACAATTTATTGCATGCATTCCTTAATAGGAAAAGTTTCCATAAAAAGTTGGAAAAATTGGAGACAAGCTGGGAAAATTTTCTTACTTGGGCTTGGACCGGATTTGTTGAGGTTGATGTCCTCGGACACCGTGCATGCCATCATTTTAACAACACATATGTGCAAGCCCCCAAGGTCCAGGCCCGGGTTGGTTTGGCTCGCAAGCAGATGGAGTCTCAGTTCCACCATTGACTTCTTGGAGAGTGGGGTGTCATCTACATTTTATTAATCCTAGTTACTCGAGGGGTTATCTTATGTTTTTTGGCAATTACATATAAATATGTAGTGAAATTCCCAATCCTATCCTGTACCGGACAAAGACCTTGCTTGCTCCACTCATAGTCCCTCCGATTAAACAACCAATATCTCATACGGGGAGGAAAATGTGAGGACACCATGATACAAGGTTATTGGCAGAAAGGGTTGGGAGAAGCAAGAGCAGAGGGGGAGAAAACAAAGAAGAAGAAGAGATGAGAGAGAAGAGAAAGGATAAGAGAGGACAAGTTTGTTATGGAAATTTTGTTACTGATATTTCATTTTGTTTGTTCTTTATATTATAAAGATAGGAACAACTAATAACTTTTACAAAGCAAACAAAACAATACAAGTTACGTAAACTAACTAAGACTCTATAATGCCCATGTCTATTATTACCAGACTCAAAGGATAAAAAATACTAAGTTCAACTAACAATAAAACTAGTCCATGTAGCTTAAGTCCTTCTTATTTGAAAATTCCCAATTCAATTAGGGATTTATTGCTTGCCTATTTCTTCTCCACCTAATTCAATTGGGTTTTTTTCTCGCTCCCTCACTTTCTCTACCTATATCAATGCCCTCTCCTTCAAATTGCCCTTGTCCTCAAAGGAGAATGATGGGAATCGTTTATTGATCTCATCCGCAAACTACCAAGTAGCATTTGTTGGGGAAAGGCCATGCAAATGGATCAACCATTGAACAACTAATCTGTCCTTTATATATATATATATATATATATATAATCCTTTTATCAAACATTACCAATGGTTGAGGAAAAGAGCTAAGGTGTAGATTGAGGAGTTGTTTGATTGCCTAAGAAGACCCAATCGATTTAAAAAAAAGAAAGAAAACACGAAACACTAAATGAATCAAAGCCAAATGAAGGTTAACTTAAGGATAAGCAACCTTTCCTACCCTTTCTTCTACCATAAATGGACTATAGTATTAAGCGGATAGCTTATGAAACTATCTTCTAATGATCGAGTGCTATCGGTAGGGTTGCAATTTTAAGAATACCCAATCTTCTACCTCAAATTGGTAGTCTCGTTTAATGTTTATTGGCAATTTATACCATGAGATTTTGGGCTCTCTAGAGGTTGTGCTTGAGATATTGAAGCGATGTTTCTCTAGATGTGAGATAGGAATCCATAGTCTCAATTTGGGAGTCTTTGGGTAAATAGGGAAGATGGATAGGGGTGGAGTCCCTTACAACACCTCAAATGGTATGAATCTACTAAAGGAGTGAAAATTGGTGTTGTACCACCTTTCGGCTATGGAAAGGCACTTTGACCATTCCGTTGGTGCATCACTTGCTATACACCTTAGGTAAGTCTTAAGACATATGCTCGACTATCTCAATTTGCCATCGGATTGAGGGTGTTAAGTGTTAGTGTAGGTGTCCGAGCATTCAACCATATTTGAATATATTTGAGTTATTGTATTATTGCATTATTTATTTTATTAATAATAAAAGAAGTCTTTCTATTAATCCCGATAATTTATAATTATTTACCGAATAGAATTAAATAGAAGTCTATATGATATGCATTTTTATTAATGATTGATCAAAAGATGTGAGATAAACACTAATGCATATAAATGATATCATTAAATGCCCCAAGTCGTAGCATTATCAAGAGTGGACATTAATTATATGCAGTTAGACTTGTAAGTACTATGCTCATGCTATATAATAATAGGAGATCTCACACCTATTGGTATGATGATGCCAAAGTAAGCATTTAGATCATTTATGTTAGAGAACATATCACTAAACTTGACTCACCATCGAACCCATTTGGTTTAGTCTATGGGAATCTCATATGAGATGGGTATAATTGATTCTTAGACTTGAAGTCATCATGGTTATCTCATTGGATAATTTATATACTTTGACACTCATTTTGATGGATCTAGTAACGAGTTATACGTATGCAATGACTAAGATAGGACATGTCATTCTTTGTATGCTAAAGGAGTTATGATGTTGCACTTTAATGAATGTTTGCTAAAAAATGTGACCACGGTAGAAGTATATCAATGAATCATAATTAGTTTACTTTAAGAGCTAAGACATTTGATAATCGAAAAAACCTTATGTGATTATAATCAAACAAGACTAATAACTAAGTTTGAGATCACATTGTGATAAGTTGACTTGAGGATTGAATTATATGGTAACCATACTCATGAAAAATAATTACGAATTAATTAATCCTCTTAGAAAATTAGGAAGTTATGATGCCTTTCTAGAGGTCAATCTTGACTTATGAATCAAGAGATAAAAGATGCATCTTTTATTCTTGATACATTGCCAACATATTTGAGAGCTTATTGAGTTACATGCATAAGTTTAAGCATTCACATAATAAAAGAGAAGTAAAGATATTGGAAAAAGTTGTTAATTTTGAATGTTTCCTATTTAGAAAAAGGTTTCCTAAAATGAAAAGTTTCCTTAAATAAAAGTTTTCCAAAATGGAAACCTTCTTGTTCTAGAAATCAGTTTTCTAATTTGGAAGTTAGTTCCAAATTTGAAAGTAAATAACCTAAAAAGAAAATTAGTTTTCTAATTTAGGTTTAAGGGTAATTTGAGAAATTTTTTTCTAATATGGGCCTCCTAAAATTATATAAGCTAATTTATTTGGATAGTCCAAACTAATTAATTAGGCCAAAATAGTTTGGGCCAATAGATTTAATTAAAAGCCTAAAAGATATTTTGGTGGAAGGATAAACAGGAACCTTATTAGATAAGGATGAATGTTTTAAAGGATAAGATCAAAAAGCCCACATGCATAATAACTCCTAATCCTTGAAGGATTAGGAAGCAACAATCTAGATCCTTTAGGGACTCATTGTTGCCCTCTTCCTTATCCTTGGAGGACAAGAAAGCCTTTCATAGGAGAGAGGTACAACAAACACAAGTAAGAGAGAAGAGAGAAAAATGCCATAAAGGAAAAAGAAAAAGGCTACCCGACTTGTCATAAAAAATAAAAAAAGAGAAAATAGTTTCATCTAACTTTACCACACGCCACTTTTCCCTCACACTCTTAATGTTGTCATAAAAATCCCTAAATTGATTTCTAAAGTAAAACACTAAAATTCAAAAAAGTTAGAGCCAACATTGTACTAATTTTGAGTGCTTCTTATGTGGTGCTTGGATCTGCGTAGATTATTAATAGAGGTTAAATGCTTGGACGACTCTTTTTCTAAGAAGGTTTAAATCTACACTACAAGAGATAATTCTTTATTTAATGCTTTAATTCATAAATATATGGTTAGTTGATTCAACGACATGATCTTAGACCCTTTAGGTGGAGGAAAATTTTTGTTTTATTTTATACCTCCATAAGATGCATGATCTTTCAGTAAACTATAGAGTAGTGGAATTTGACATTTTGGAGAGAAAATAGTTCTTTGTAAAAGGCACCGAGGAAGATTAGGTCTTTGTCACTAACAATATAGTCTCGGTAACCCATAGAGTTTAAACACTTGGTTTAGGAAGAGCTATACCACCATATGGGTAGTGTAGGGAATAGGGAGGCTTATAAAATAAGCATACTTGCTTAGACGGTTGACACCATAAACATTATTGTTTTTTCTTTAGACATTGGAAATCCTTCTATGAAGTGCATAGAAATATCTATGAAAAATCCTTAGGGTATGGAGAGAGGTTGTAATAAGCTTGGGGTGGCCACCAATTCTAGTTTATTTGTTTGAAAAACTAACCAATTTCTTATGTATTTTTTGATGTCTCATTATTACCCCTTCTAGTAAAAAACTCTTAGCTTTTTGGTTGTTATTGTCATCCCTAAGTGACCTCCTATGACGGTGTCATGGAACAAGCCCATGATGTGAGTTTTCAATTGTGTATCATCTCTCACCACCATTTTCCCTTTTCTTATGAGAATATTATTCTACCACTTGTAGTTAAGGTGAGACATAGGGCTCTTAATCAACCCCTGTCGAGCAATGTCCGAATCTTAGAGTCGGCAGCCTAAGATTGTCTTACCGTTGGTAGTAAATAAGAGGAAAGAGTAGAGATTGCCATAGATAGGAATTTAGTGCAAGGCATCCTAGATAGTGCGTCGACTATCACATTCTCCTTACCCTTATTGTATACTATTTCATAATCATACCCAAGCAGTTTAGCTAATCAATTATGTTGACTAGTAGTGGAAAGTTTTTACTCTAGTAGATACTTCAAGCTATGATGGTTAGTCTTTATTTTAAAATGTCTAGAGTCTAGATAATGCCTCCGTTAGTTGATCGCATATAGAATTACCAACGGTTCCCTCTCATAGGCTGAAAAGCTTGCATTGTCTAGGAGATAGAGCCTTATTGATATAGGCAATAAGGTGACCCTCTTGTCTAAGAATTGCCCTAAGTCCTAAATTTGAAGTATCGGTCTTGATAGTAAACTCTTTTGTAAGATCTAGTAAGGCTAACACTGGTGTAGTAGTCATAGCCTTCTTGAGTTTGTTGAAGGCTTCGTAGCTTGGCTAGTTTATAAGAATTTATCCTTCCTTAGCAAATCTATCAAATGCTAAGCACTTTATATCACTTAATAAACCTTCTATAATATCCTATCAAATCTAAAATTCCCTTTAATTTTTTTAGATTTCTAGGAATTGGCCAATTAACCATAGTTTGGATCTTGTAAGGATTACTAGAGACATGTTTACCCAAAATATAGTGTCTTAAGTACTCAACCTTACCACTCGCTAAAAACTTATTTACTAAGCTTAGCAAACGGCTTTTGTTGTTGCAGCAAGGTTAGAACCGCTCTTAGGTAGGTCAAGTGATCCTTCATGATGTTGTTGTATATTATGATGTCATAAAAAACACCAACATAAACTTTCTTAATTCTAGTTTGAATATTTTGTTCATTAGGCTTTGAAAGGTTGCAGGAGTGTTAGTATGGCCAAAAGACAT